AAATAAAGTGAAACAGTAAAAGCCAATGCAGGGATAGGAGTTATAATGATGATAACAGTGTAGACATGCAGGAATGTTGACTGGGCCCCTGGCTGGGGTCTGGTGGGGGCCTAGCCAGCTGGCGTTTCTAGGCACAGACTGACCAGAGCCCTCTCCCTGCAGGGGACAACAACCGGATCCCAGTCATTGAGTCCCTGAAGATCCGGGAGCAGCAGCGGACTGCCGTCTCCACTAGTTGGATGCTGCCCTACAACTATACCTGGTCATCTGAGAAGGTGCTCGTGTACACACCCACGGTCAACTACACACTTCGGGACTACCACAAGTTCTTCCAGGACATTGGCTTTGAAGATGGCTGGCTCATGCGGCAGGACACAGAGGGGCTGGTTGATGCCATGATGCCACCTGGTGTGCGGCTGCACTGCCTCTATGGCACTGGTGTCCCCACACCAGACTCCTTCTACTATGACAGCTTCCCTGACCGAGACCCTAAAATCTACTTTGGGGATGGCGATGGCACTGTGAACTTGCAGAGTGCCCTGCAGTGCAGGGCCTGGCACAACCGCCAGGAACAACAGGTGTCACTGCAGGAACTGCCAGGTAGCGAGCACCTTGAGATGCTGGCCAATGCCACTACCCTGGCCTATCTGAAACGCCTGCTTCTTGGGCTCTGATTCCTGTGCCAGTCAGGGCCTCTGTGTCTGTCATGGCCCACCAAGTTTAGCATAGTTTGTGACCAGTCATTCAAGGCCCTGGGTCTTGAGCTGGGAAGTACCTGCCACAGGGAAGTGCTATTTCTTATCCTTCTGTGGCAGCAAAGAAGGAAGAAATGAAAGTCTGGACTCAAGGGACCCTTGACAGAAAGACTGCTGATTGGGATTGTTGTAACCTCAGGACTGGCTCTGCAGGGTGGATTGGCCAGCCGCTGGCCCTGGTCCCCAGCCTGGGCCATGCATTCCTCCTGCTCCTATGGCCTTCTCACACACACCCACTGGGCCCTGGCTCCTCAGCCTTCCTGTGAGGGATGTTACCGTGCTGTGGTCCTGTCCCCAAAGGTCTCAGGGATGGGCTTCTGGCCCCTTGGGTGACCCTTTCCACATGCCACAGGTAGGCCTGCCATTGGCCATGGGTGGCTGGAGCTGCTGGCTTCCCTGTGGCTTCCTGGGGGCAGCAAGTGTCCCTTGCAGGAAGAGGCAGTTTGTTTTGTTCTTTATGGTACCCAGTTCCTGGGACATTCACTCCACTGCTATCTCCCTCACCTCCAAGAGCAGCCTAGCTCTGGATTGGGCAGCACATGGGCCCCCGGTTCCAGAGGCCATGTCCCAGGAGCCCTGATCCCCTCAGTTGTGCTGTTGGCCCTAGTATTAAAGCTCCAACCTGGGACGGTGGTTCCAGGATGAGGGCAGTGGCTAGTGCCATGCCCTTCTAGGTACCCATGAAGAAAGGGAACTCAAAGAAGCAGCCAAGGCTGTTTATCTTTACCCTGAGCCACTCTCTTGCTAACACCACTACCACACTGCCACTCTGCCCCTGGGGTCTCTATAGTACCCAAGTGACCTGGCACAGGACTGAGAGGTGGCCCATGCTGCCCAGCACCTGTTCTCACCAGGCAACTGGGTGGGCCCCTGAGGGAGCCAGGTGCCTTGCGGCCCCCTAGGGGTTTTCTGTCTCCCCTGAGGTACTGTCTGGATTTTCCTGTGATGGCAGGAAGAATCTGGGCCTGCCTTGGTAACAATGGGCTTCAAGTGGGTGACTGGTTATAGGCCAGGAGTTGGGTCCAGCCTCTGAGTTGGGGTCCCAAAGCCACATTCAGGCTGAACTGATTTGATTTCCCACAAGGTTTCTGCTGAGCTGGATTTTCTTTGTTGTGTACATGCCCGGCATCTGACTCTCCCTTTGTTCCTGAATGGTGGGCCCTGCGGGGGCTCTGAGCAAGCTATACCTCGATTCTGGCAATAAAAGTATTCTGGATGCTGTAAGGGGCCTTGGCCTAGGCTGTGCTCTGAGTACAAGAGGAGGGAGGTGGTGGAGGTGTGAGGGGCTAGGGAGGCAGGTAACCAGGGCCGGACATTTACTGGGGCTTTGATGAGTTCTCTTGGCACCAAAGCATGACTCCTGTGCTCTTTGGGTTTCATCTTGCTGCTCTCCTGGAATCTAGTTCTCCACCTGGGACTAAGAACCAGAACCTGAAACATTCCTGTCACAATGGGGTCCCTGTCCTCCCCTTGCTCCTGCCTGGTCAGCAGGCCCCACATGCCCCTTGTGCTTGGGGACAAGGACAGTCCTCCAAGTCACCTTAGCTAGACTCTCCTTCCCAGCCTGTGTCCTCCCTTAGCTTACAGGTCTAAGCATCCTTTGAACCTAGAGTTCTCTTTAGAATGCTACCCTTGTCCTTTGCTTTCCTAGTTCATCTGCCTCCCATCCGTCCCTCTATGGGGACAGAGAGAGACTGAGGGAGGAAGAGAGACTAGGCGGAGACTGGTAAGGACAGAAACCAAGATGGGCAGAGACAGGGACTGAGAGACTAGGGAGCTAATGGAGATAGACAAAACAGAAACAGAGGGAGATGGAGACAGGGAAACATGGATAGGGATGGGGTCCTGGGCTGAGTTTCGTGGTCCAGAGCCTGGGGCTAGTGCAGTGCAGGTAGTAGGAGCCGCGGTTCCTCTTTTCCACTGAGCCCCACGCATCTGGTCCCTAGGCGTTTATGAACCACAGACCACTAGAGGGCGCTCGGAACCCTCTCACCACACCAGCTCTTAGCCAAACCTGGAAGGAAGCGGTGGCCCAGAGGGGCTGAGAATGCCTGTGAATACACAGGTCCACGGGCAGCTCTGGCCTAAATAACAGGATGACAACATGAAGAGGAGCCTAACCCGCAATCTCTGCCCAGCCGGATTCCCAGCTCAGCCCTGATACCCACCCACCCCTAGCATCATTTGTGGTGGCCTCAGAGCTATTCACCCCCCTGCCCCTCCCCACACACACACCTGTTTCAGCCCAACTGCCACCCTTGGCTTCACAGCTGCAGAGAGAAGACATGGAGTCAGAGCAGGCTTCAGGACCAGAAGACCTGGGTGCAAATCCCAGCTCTACCAGCTCCTGCCAAGTAGCCTGGGGCGCCTCCTGGTCTCCCTGAAGCATAGTTTCCTAATCTGAAGAATGGGGACAATTCTCAGGGGTAGTCTTGAGGAGCACTGATGTTGGAGGACATCTGATTCAGTGCCCGGTGCACAGTGGGCTTTCAGCTGATGTGCTATTAATACAACTAGACAGCAAAGGCAGAGGTCCGGGAGCCAGCAGATCTTGCATGCAGCCGTTGCAAGGACAAGTGGACTGGCTGCTACTGAGTGACTCAGTGTCCAGAGCTGTCGCCCTGCCCAGCCAGGAAAGCTGGAGGAACTGATCTAGGAGGCAAAGGGTTAAACTCTACTGATGCAAGTACTAATGTACACATGCTTATTCACACTTATGGAAAATGTTCCAAGCAGAAGACACAAGGAGGGTGGCACTAGTGAGGACTCCTCAGGGTTGTCATTTCAGGCCTATAGGGAAGAGGATGGAAGGGTTTTTAGGGAGGAGAAATACAAAGTCATTCTAGTCTGTCTTTTTTAGGAGATCCCCTGTGGGATGGGTTGGAGCGAGTGGGATAGGGATTGGGAGGCGGTTGTGGCTGGGGAGAGGCAAAGCATGGGATGCAGGCCCTGCGGAGACGGAGGAGGAAGGGTCTGGGCTGCTGCCCATCTCTGGTGGGGTCACTGGGTGTGAGAAACAGAGGTTTGGGTGTGGTCTGAAACTAGAGGATGTGCAGCTGTGGACACACAGCTGGGAAAAAAAGACTCCATGTCCCACGAGAGAGTCAGTGCTTGAGCTGTGTACGGGATGCTAAGGTGGAGGGCTCAGGGACCCATGAGGTCAGGAGGCCCCAGACAGAGCCCCAGAGCTGCCAGAGGAAACGGAGCCCCCAGGGGAAGTGGAGAAGGAGCAGACAGAAGGCGAAGGGGACAGGAGGATGCAGCTCCCCCAGGAGGGGTGTCAGCCGAGTCAGGGAAGATGAGGACAGAGCCCCAGGGAGGCCTGGGGTTGGCTAAGGAGGCCGGGCAAAGTCTGTGGGGACCTCAGTGGCTGTGAGTCTGAGCTTTGAGTGTGGGAGGACAAGTCCTGGGCGTGTGTGTCTCCCTGGGGTCCCTTGGCAGAGGGTCAGCAGTGACCTGGGTGTGGAGGTTGTCTGGAGCTCCTTGTGTGGGCTGTGGAGGGGGCCCGGGGCGTGGGGCCCAGGCCAGAGGCCAAATATAAATGGGGAGGTCGTGGGGGCTGTTTAGCGCTCCCCTTGGGAACGCCCTCAGAGGCCTTCTGTGACTCCAGGGTGGCAAGAGTGGCTGGGCCCCCTCAGGGCTGCCTCATAACTACATGCAAAGGCTGGGCCCTCGGGTCCCGGATCTCGGAGGCTGCGTGCAGCGTTCCTGAGGCCGGAAGCGGCGCCACAGCGGACCCCCGCGGAGCCCTGTCCCGACGCGGCACGAGCTGTCGCGATCCGGCGGCGGGTGACGTGGCGGGGCGGGGCCTGAGTGGCGGCGGCGGCCGCGGCAGCGCGACGGAGCATCCTGGCGGCGCCACCGGAGGTAACGGGCCTAGCTGGGCCGGGCGGGGTGCTGGAGCTCCCCGGAGCGAGACCGTGGCGGGGGCCGCGTCTCTGCGTCCTCGCCGCCGCCGCGAGCGGGATGCGGGCCGGAAACGGCGCGGGGCGGCGGGCGGGGGGCCGCGAGAGAGACGCTGCGGGCGGGCGAGAGGGTGAAGCTGGAGCTAGAGGGTGACTCCAGGAGTGTGGGAGACCCTGAGTATAAGACCGAATGTGTAAAAAAAGACCCTGTGTGTGAGAGACCTGAGTGTGGTGGTGACTTTGTGAGTGTGCGTGACTGGAGGGTGAGGGTGAGGAGGGTGAGGCCGTAAGAGGGAGGCTGTGTGTGTGTGTGTGTGTGTGTGTGTGTGCGCGCGCGCGCGCGCGCGTGAGAGAGAGAGCAAAGCTCTAGGTGTGAGGGTGACTCAGTGTGAGTGTGACGACGACTCCATGAGTGTGAGAGACCCTGCCAATGGCCCTGAGTGTGAGACTGTGACCGAGCCACTCACAGTGTGCGGTCGGAGCACAGGAAGGAGGACCTGGCAGGAAGAAGGCCGCGCGGCCGGCGTGTGGGAGACACGCGCGGGCGCAGAGCGGCTTGGTGGGCTGCTACGGGAGTCTGTGCGGTGGCCGACTGTGGGGCTGGGGCCTGCTGTGCCTCTGTTATGGCTCTTTTGACTGTCTCCAGTGTCCTCTCTTCTTGGTCTTACAACTGTCTCCTGTCATAAATGCCAGGGGAGATGTGCAAAACATTCTGAAAATTCTTTGCTGAACACTAAGCAAACATGTTGTGTAATGGCCCGTATAAATAGGAATCAGCGAATCAGCGTTGAATTTAACGTGGTTTGGAGGACCTCTCGTGTGCTCCGGGCTATGTACTTGGTGATACAGTTAAAAAGAATTCAGTCTCTGCCCTTTGATGTGGGGGGGGGGGGAATCAGAGCCAGCTCATCCAGGACGGCATTCCGGCCTGAGCAGAACGCCCGCCATCTGGTGCCTTATCTCTGAGAGCTGCCCCCTAATTTCAGATCTTGGAGGAACAGACTTGAAAAGCTCCACCTCTTTTTGCTGGCTGTGAGCCCTTTAGGAAAGTGCCCAGGCTGCCCCAGGTTACTAAGGGCCCATGTGGTAGTGCACTGATTGCTTTTGCCTCCCAACTTTGGTCTCAAGACTGTCATTCAAGTTGTTCTGTAAGATTTTCCTTTCCTGGCAAACATGTGGAAAGCCAGCAGACTGATTTGCTCCTCCTCGTCCTCCCCTCGTCCTCCTTCCTTATCTGGCTGTTACATATTTTTATTGCAAACCAAACATGTACACCAGTTATGTGACTGATCTCCTTGGAACTTCTTGGTAGAGGAAATTTCCCGACCTCTGTCCTTCCTGCTGTAGTCTTTAGGATGCAGGTCTGTTTTACAGGAGTTATGCAAACCGTTGTCACGGGACCTGGGACTGGGGACTCATCGGGGACTCAGGGACTCAGAGTTGCCCAAACATGCTTGATTTGAGATGACAAGTTTAGTTCTCTGACAAGTTTGGGCTGGTTGCTTCAGTTAACCTCCTATGTGGGTATGATAGAACTTCTTATGCATTAGGGCTGCCCCTGCCGGGCATGGAAAAGATGGATTTTTTAAAGAGAAATACCTTGCTGCTTGATCAGTCTATTTTTTGATCAGTTCTCTCTCTCTCTCTGTTGCAGAGATTACATGGCCAAGATGCAAATGGAATTAGGCCTTGCTGCCGAGACTTTGTTTTAGTACTTGACCCATTTATGATGAGGTGGCTTGTGAAATTGTGATGTTCGCTTATTTCTTGACAGGTAAATATTGTTTCTATTAGCTTTCTTTTATCATTGTGATTTATAAAGAGTTTTTGTTGTGTGTATATAATCTGTACACAATACTACTAAAGAAAATGGCTCACAGATAATTAACTGTTTTTTAGATTTACATGTTATGTAACTAAAAACCAAATTATGCATTTATATTACATTGCTTTCTAAAAAGCAACCATAGTGGTTTTTAGTTAAAGATTCTTGAAATGAGGTTGTTAAATAAAAAACCAAAGCTGTGGAGAAGATTAGATGGCAAATACTGTGGAAGTGAGGATATCTTATTTACTGTGATTGGGAGCTGAATTTAATCTGGAATTTCCTGGTATCCTAGGTTGATAAACAAACTTAAAGGGCCAGAAAATTTTTGTTATTTGATAAAAATAATAATATATTTATTTTTTAAGTTGAAGCATTTAAAAAAATGAATGCATACTCATTGTGGGAAATATAAAACTCAGATGCATAAATAAGAATAAGTCCTCTATGTTTTCACCACAGTTAAGATTTTGGTATATTTCCTCTGTGATATTGTGAAATATATATTTGGTTTTCCTCTCCCTTTCTTGGCATTCAACTCCTGAAATCCTCAGTATCTAAGTCTTTTTGTATGCTAATCAGTTGACTTCTGGCTGCCTGCCCCTAGGTAGCTACTGGTAGAGGGCTGGAAAGACTGGAGCTGTATTAGAGGGTTGGACCTTTTAACCCCACCCCCAGGGAAGAAAGAGGGGGGAGGCTGAGGGTTAAGTTGATCACCAATGGCCAGTGACTTAATCAGTCATGCCTATGTAATGAAGCCTCCTTAAAAACTCAAAAGGACAGGGTTTGGAGAGCTTCTGGGTAGCTGAACATGTGGAGGTTCCTAGAGGGCCAGGGAGTGCCTAGAAGCTCCTAGGACCCTTCCTCCATACCTCGCTGACTGCTCTTCATCTGTATCCTTTGTAATATCCTTAATAATAAACCAACAAATGTAAGTAAGTGTTTCCTTGAATTCTGTGAGCTGCTATAGCAAACCCAAAGGGGAAAGGTTATGGGAACCCCAAACCGAAGCAGGTTGAAAAGTTCTGGAGGCCTGGACTTGTGACTGGTGTCTGAAGTGGGGTGGAGAGGTAGTCTTGGGGACTGAGCCCTCAACCTGTGGGATCTGATGCTATCTCCAGGTAGGTAGTGTTGTAATTGAATTGGATAACTCTAGCTGGTGTCCACTGCAGAACTGATTGCTTGCTTGTTGGTGGGGAAAAACCTCCACACAACTGATCATAGTCTTCTGTGTTGATTGTTGTGGTTTGTGTGAAAGCAGAGGAAGAATGGTCTGAGTTTTTCCAAACAATCTCAATAGCATTTTTTTCTATAGTTGCTTATCAAAGAGGTTGTAAATCCAGTTTGTAAAACTTTCTTTGTAATTGAACTTTGATAAATTCTGTGAACTAAGATAAAATCTTAAGGCTTCCCGCCACCGGCTAACTGATTGGCTCCCCTCTAGGCCAGGGGGATATCCTAAAACTAAATTGCATGCCATGAGGAGAGAAGGGAGGTCATACATACCTCATCATGCCCCCTCCCTTCTTGGAGACATCCTTAGTAACCCATTAACTGGCCTAAGGGTATGCAAGATAAACCTGCAGATGCTTACATATATGTCTGGTGGCTTGTCTCTGAATTCACAGACCTCTTTATCTTAAAACATTCCAAGCCTTTAGACAAAGCTTCATGTTTTTAACCAATTACAAGACAAAGAATCTTTAAACCCACTTATAACCTGTAAAGTGTCCCCCCCCCCACTTTGAGATGGCCCACCTTTGCAGGCCAAACCAATGTATATGCCTTCCATGTATTGATTTATGACTTTACCTATAACCCCTGTCTCCCTGAAATGTGTAAAACCAAACAGCCACAGTGAGTGTACTTGCTCAAGGATTCTTGGGCATGGCTCTGGGGGGTCATGGTCCTCAAATTTGGCTAAAAGTAAATCTCTTTTTTTTTTGAGACAGAGTCTCACTTTGTTGCCCAGGCTAGAGTGAGTGCCATGGCGTCAGCCTAGCTCACAGCAACCTCAAACTCCTGGGCTCAAGCAATCCTCCTGCCTCAGCCTCCCACAAGTAGCTGGGACTACAGGCATGCACCACCATGCCCGGCTAATTTTTTGTATATATACTTTTAGTTGGTCAATTAATTTCTTTCTATTTTTAGTAGAGACGGGGGGGGGGGGGGGGGGCTCGCTCAGGCTGGTTTCGAACTCCCGACCTGGAGCAATCTGCCCGCCTCGGCCTCCCAGAGTGCTAGGATTACAGGCATGAGCCACCGCCCCCAGCTAAAGTAAATCTCTTTAAAAGTATTTTACAGGCTGGGCACTGCAGCTCACGCCTGTAATCCTAGCACTCTGGGAGGCCGAGGCGGGAGGATCACTCAAGGTCAGGAGTTCAAAACCAGTCTGAGCAAGAGGGAGACCCCGTCTCTACTAAAAATAAAAAGAAATTAATTGGCCAACTAAAAATATATAGAAAAAATTAGCTGGGCATGGTGGCGCATGCCTGTAGTCACAGCTACTTGGAGGCTGAGGCAGGAGGATCGCCTGAGCCCAGGAGTTTGAGGTTGCTGTTAGCTAGGCTGATGCCAGGGCACTCTAGCCCGAGTGCCTGGGCAACAGAGGGAGACTCTGTCTGGAAAAAAAATATTTTACAGTTTGGCTTCTTTTCCCTTGACAATTAGTTGTTTTGTTGTTGTTGTTGTTTTTTCTAAAAATTGCATATGACAGTTTCATGGTTAAATTTTCATGAGGAAATTTTAGTGGTCTGTTAAATTCCTTTACTCTCTGCTACAGGAGCTGGAAAATAGGATGAAAACCTGTTAGAAAACTGCATTGTGTCTTTACAAGTAGGGCTTAACATTGTTGTCTTTTTTTAAGACAGGACCTGATAGGGTACATTAAATTATTTAATAGAAATTATTTCCAACAATGATTTCAGAGATTTTAGTGTTAGAGTCTGAGAGACTGATATTGTGTGTTATCTTCACATACCACTTTCTCTTATCAATTGAGTAAAAATTGAAGGCAAAAGGATAGCCAACTCAGGAGGGTGATCTGGTAGAATTTTGATGACCCTCTTGTAATACCAGGCCAGCTGGAGGTAATGTCTTAATTATTGGCCCCTTGAACACCAGTTTTCATTCCATTGTTGCAGAGGGTCTGCAGATCTACTCTGTGGGAACAGGATAGACAACGCCTCTCACACAGGTATGGACTGCTTTTTTTTGATATGTCTACAGATATTGTTGTGACTAATTAAATGCAAAATAATTCAAAACCATTACTGCAGTCATAGTAGTTTAGTGTCATTATTTTTTCTTCTCATCAACTGTTACCTGAAGAAAATAATCTGATGTTAGCACATTAACTGCATGTGAGTTGTGTTTAACTCAGGCTAGTTTTGAGCCTGGGGCCTGGTGAAGCATATGTTACTCACACATCTCTTTACCTTGAGCCATGTGAAACTATTTTTTTTTTTTTAAGTTGCAGGTAACTCAAGCACAGAAAATAATAAAATATAACAAATTTTTCATTAAATTGGAAAGGATCGTTTTGTTTTCAAAGTTTTTATTCTATTTTTGTAAGAAAACACTGGCCCCAAAGAAAAAATTTTTTTTTCGTATGGCACTTAATAGTGTGGCACTTATTGTGTTAGTATAGCGACTCCAGTTGTCTTTTGGTACGTGTTTACATATACTTTCCCTTTTACTTGTGACTTATTTATATCTATATTTAGGGTGGGTTTCTTATAGACTATATTTTGAGCTTTGCTTTTTTATCTAATCTGACAGTATCTTTAAATCATTGTGCCCAGATCATTTACATTTAATGTAATTATTGGTATAATTGGATTAAAATCTGCCATCTTGTTTGTTTTCTATTTGTTCTATATGTTCTTTTTTGCTTTTTTCTTTTTCTGCATACTTTTTGATTGTGTATTATATTTCCACTGTTGGCTTATTATTTATACCTCTTTTAATTTTTGTAGTGGTTGTCCTAGTTTTACAATATGAATTTTTAATAATATCTACCTTTAAAAAGTATATTGCTTCATATGTAATATAAGAACCTTATACGAGTATATTCCCAGTTCTTCTTTTGTGCTATTGTTATCAGACATTTTGCTTTTACATGTACTGTAAGTCCATAATATTTTGCTACTAGTTTTGCTTTAGGCAGTCAATTATATTTTAAAGTACTTAAAAATAAGCAAAAATTGTATTTTTTATATTTGCCTCATACTATTTGATATTGCCCCACACCTCTTATATGCTCTGTTCTATTTTTTTTACTTTTTTCCATTTCCACTCTTACGGTTTTCATCGCTCTGCTGAAATTCCACATTTGTTCCTGCATGGTGTCCAACTTTTTTTTCTTTTTTGAGACAGAGTCTTGCTCTGTTGCTTAGGCTAGAGTGCAGTATCATCAGAGCTCACTACAACCTCAAACTCCTGGGCTGGAGTGATCTTCCTGCCTCAGCCTCTTAAATAGCTGGGACTACAGGCATGCTCCACGACCCTTGGCTAATTTTTGTATTTTTTGTAGAGATGGGTCTCACTATATTGCTCAGGCTATTCAGCTAGTCCTGAATTCCTGGTCTCAAGACATCCACCTGCCTTGGCCTCCCGAAGTGCTGGGATTATAGGCATGAGCCACCGTGCCCAGCTAGCTTTTTGATTAGAGCCTTTAATGTATTAATCATAGTTATTTTATATTACCTGTTTGATGTTTTCAATATCTGGGTCATCTCTAAGTTTAGTCACTCTTTTGATAGTGGGTGGGTTTTCTTGCTTTTTTGTGTGTTGCTTATAATTTGTTATTGATTATTAGACAAAGTATGTAGAACGGCAGAAACTGAGGTATATGATATTCTGGGAAATGGGAACAACTCTTCTTTTGCTAGGCTGTTAGTATGGGAGTTTGAGTGCATTAGTCAGGAGATGAATTGTGCTTGGGTTTTGTTGTTACTATGATTAACTTAGGTGCACCAATGGCTTCAAATTCCTCTAGTGTTTCCTGGCCAGCTTAGGGTTGATTTGCGGGAGGGATGCTTTTTCTCATTATTTATGCTCCACCCTCAGCTTTAGGTCTTTCTGTGCCTCTGCCTCGGTGCAGTCTGCCACAGCATTAGTAGTACACTGCTGTTGCTTGTTCTTGGGTGTTTGCTAACCTGGTGAGTAGCAAGCGGTTTCTCTGGTGTTCTGGTTCAGCCTCAGTGTTAGGCAGACCCTGTTTCCTTGGGTCTCAGGGGTGTGTCTTTCTAAGAGATCCTGCTATTCCTGCAGAGGTAGGACACTGCTAAGGGTCTTGACCAGAATTTCCTGCCCCTCCTCCAGGCATAGAGGTTTTTCTTCCTTTTACTCTGCCCTAGCTGCCTTGGGAGTGAGTGTTTGCTGCCCTTTCCCCATGGGGTTATAAGTTTTAGTCTTTAGAGGAGAAAGGGCCTTGTATTTTTCCTCCTCCAGGCCAGCACTACTGAGAAAGGCTTTCTCTGGTCTTCTGTCCAGTATTTCTTGTGAGCACCCCCTGAGGTCTCTGGAGAAAAACCTCCGAGTGTTTGTGGCTCATGCTAAGCTGTATTTGACATTTGGTAATTTGTTAAAATTGGACCTGAATTCTTCTGACCCTCCTGTATGGTGGGTCCCCTCTTGCTCCCACCGCCACAGGTGAACTAGAGCTTGTATCTCTCTCTCTTGGAGGTACCTGTCTTTCCATCAGTTTCAGTCTAGTTGGTTACCCTGTAACCTTAGCTTGCTGATGGCTTCAAGAAAAATTATAACCTTAAACTCTGTACCCCCATAATATGCCGAAATTAAAAAAAAAAAAGAAAAATTATGGTTTTATAGGTTCTCTAGCCTTTTTTGTCATTGGAGTGAGAGTGATGCTTTCTCCAGCTTTCTACATGTTCCGTGGAAACTAGAAGTTGGAGACTTTTAGTTTTATCTTAGATTTTAACTTCCAGTAAAATGAGTTTACCTCTTTTCTTCCCTTCCTCTCTTCCTTGTTTTAAGAATTTTGTCTTTCAGCAACGTTAACCTCATTGAGAAAGGCCTCACATTTTATAGAAGTTTTGTTATCTGTAATTTATTGCTCACAAAAGATCTGTAAAGCTGTTTGGGAAGGTAGCTATTATCTTACTTTTACCTCTGGAAAAGGTAAAGGTCAGAGAAGGGTGAGGTACAGGTAGCTGGTGAGCTGTAGTCTCTCTGCCTGTGGGGCTTCTGATCTCATGTCCATCTCATCTGCATGCTGCATACTGTATGGTTGCGTGTTCCATGAGGGCATGGTCCATACCAATCTTGCTCACTGCTGTGAACCAACACAGAGCCTGGCATGATGTAGGTTCTTGGCAGAGTTTGTAGAGGTGTGTGACGTGAGGTTTAGATGTATAGGGGAGTTGAGGGGTGGCCTTGGAGTTGTGTAGCCAAGCCAGCCTGGGACTCATTTACTTGCCCTCAGGGAGCTGCTGGGGTTACATTACCACTCTGTTCTTGGGTGTTTAGCAGAGAGATAGGGACTTTAATTACTTCTGACCAATGACAGGCTATTGATGACAGTAGCATTTTGTTGTTGACTGAAAAGAAAGAGACCTTATCTTCCCTCAGCTGTACAGTGACTCTGCCTCTCTCCTTGGCTGAAGGAGGTATCCTTCTTAACATTCCAGTAGGAACCTTATCTCTCATTCAGGTATAGGGACAGTGACTATTCTCAAGTTCTCTGAAAAAGGCCACTTGGTAGTTTCACCAGGGTAATAGACAAACTTGATAAAGCCGTATCAGACAGCAGTGCTGGGTTGTACAAGTACAAAGGGAATGAATACCTAGTAGCCTCAGACCCTCATACCAGCTAGGGTCTGATGAACTAGAGGAAGGTGGAGTGGTCACTGGGGTCGGGTTTCTCTGCATGTCTCTGTGTTGAGTTAGGTAGACAGCCTAGGTCTCTTTGCACCTGACTCTTACATGAGCATGCAGGCTTCCCAGCTGCTTACTGGTTTTGTTCCCATGCGTGCCCGGGCTCACCTGACAGACATGTGAAAGCAAATATGTTTCTACGTGCCTGCATAGGGAAAGCTGCATGGCTTGGTGCCAGGAGTGAAAGGAAAAGTGGTGCTGCCTTAAAGCTGTCTTGTCTAAGCAGAGGTAGGCTGCCTCAACCCCTCTGGGACTTGGGGAAGGCTTACTGGGTCCCCAGAGGAGTTTTTTCTTTTGGGCTCAGTTCCAGATTCTGGAAGGGGTTTGGGGTAGGTAAGGCAGGAGGCTTGGGTGAGGCATATGGAGATTGGAGTCTTCCCTGAGAACTCCCGACTCTGGTGTCCCTGTGGTTCCTTTGTTCGGAGCTCCATGAGGCCAGGTTCTGGCACATACAACTTTGTTGAGGAGATGAGAGACTTCTGGGAACATGAGGTACTGATCCTGGTCTTATCCCTGATAGTTATCCTTGTGACCTTAAAGGACCGACTCCTGAGTGGGAATCAAACGGCCCACCAGATTCCTTCGTCTAGCAGATGAAGTAGGATCAGGGGATCTGAAGCTTTCGTGGCATGATAATTAAGGGAAGGAGAAGGTTACTCTGGGTGTGGGATCAGGAAGTTGCTTGTCTTCCTTTGACATATTCGGGGTCCTTCATAGGGAAGTTAACGTGGAATCCAACTTCCTTGCAGTTTCTGGACTGGCCCAACTAATCCAAAGGTGGTGGTGGGGGTGATGTGTGTGCCAGCTCTCTACAGGATGGCTTCTTCAGCAGATCTATAGATAAGAGAAGCCTTATAGTCCTGGTTGGGTGGCAAGACTCCTGGGTCCTGTGCTGGGAGAATCTCTTTGCAACTCCAGATAGTGGTGAGGAGCATGCTGAGGGGTATGTAATCCCTTTCTTTTGGGTAGTTTGGGGAAAGAAAGATGTTGACTGGACAAGCAGTAATGTGGGGCCAAGGCGAGTGTAGTGGACACAGTGATTCCTAGGTGTGTATTTTCATGAGGGACCTGTCCTTACTCTAGTCTCTGTAATAGTGATATGCTCTTGTCTCAGCAGCTTCCTGTCCCTTCCCACAACCTACTGATGTTCTTTACCCATGTGAGAGTAATTGCGGATGTCTCCACGTGTGGCTAGACACTGAAAAAGTCTCTGTTTGTGTTTGGTTGAAGTGAGTGGCAGGATTACCTGGGAATGGACAGTGAGAAGTTTTTCAGGCTCGTGAGGGCTGTGTACCTGGTGCAGGGACTCTGGTCTTTTCCGCAAGTCAGGTTTGTAGGTTTTAAGATTGTAAGAACAGAGCAGAAGTCACCTCAGGGAGAATCAGGCTATGAACAAACCTAATGCCAGCCAATGGTGGGCAGCAAGACTGGTACCTCTCTTTGGATGTTGCCATCACGTCATGCCTGCACTCTCATGGCATCTTTCTTGGGAGCAGTGAAGGTCTATTTCCCTATGTCCTGTGGTGAGAACTGAGAAAGGCCTGTTGTATTTAGGGCTGTGTGCATGGCATGCTGTTCCTAAGCAGGAGGTTGGCAGAGAAACCTGGTTTAAACAGGAGCCTCACCAGCTCCTGCCATAGACTGACATACTTGTGTCCTTTGCCAGGCCACAGTAAACATAGGTGTGCAGGAAGCATTTGGCATGGAATCCAGGGAGCTTGGGAGCCCCACACCCACCTACCATCTCATCCCTGGGGCCAGCCAACCCAGGATGGAAGAAGATGTCGACTCACCACCTGAAAACTCCGTGGAAACTATGCAGCTGAAGAAGGAGATCTCCCTGCTGAATGGAGTCAGCCTGGTGGTGGGCAACATGATCGGCTCAGGGATCTTTGTGTCACCCAAGGGGGTGCTGGTATACACTGCCTCCTATGGGATGTCGCTGGTCGTGTGGACCATTGGTGGGCTCTTCTCTGTTGTGGGTGCCCTTTGCTACGCAGAGCTGGGGACTACTATCACCAAGTCGGGGGCCAGCTATGCTTATATTCTCGAGGCCTTTGGGGGCTTCATTGCCTTCATCCGCCTGTGGGCCTCACTGCTCATTGTTGAGCCCACCAGTCAGGCCATCATCGCCATCACCTTCGCCAACTACATCATCCAGCCCTCCTTCCCCACCTGCGAACCCCCGTACCTGGCCTGCCGTCTCCTTGCTGCTGCTTGTGTATGTAAGTAGGGGTTGAGGGTGGGAGCATGTGTGGGGGTTTGAGGTACTGTAATAATGGTACTTTGTTTTTGAGTAGCATCTTGTACTGTCTAGGGGGAAGGGAGGCATTTTATCTTAAAAACTTTTTTTTTTTGTATTTATTAGTGTGGTGGTAAGAAGGGGGGGTTTAATTTTCTTTTTTTTTTGGTGGGGTGATAAGAAGGAGGGTTCAATTTCCTTTTTTTTTTTTTTTTAAATTGAGACAGTTTCATTCTGTCACCCTGGGTAGAGTGCGGTGGCCTCATCATAGCTCACAGCAACCTCAAACTCCTGGGCTCAAGTGATCCTCCTGCCTCAGCCTCCCGAGTAGCTGGGACTACAGGCTAATTTTTCTATATTTAGTATAGAGATGGGGTCTTGCTCTTGCTCAGGCTGGTCTCAAACTCCTGAGCTCAAGTGATCCTCCTGCCTCAGTCTCCTAGACTATTAGGATTTACAGGGGTGAGCCACACCCTGGCCTGGCTGCATTTTCTCTTGTGAGGAAGTAATTTCACCAGAGTCATTTGATCCTGAGAGACAAGTAAACATAAAGGATGGAGGTGGGAGAAGTTTGAATCTCTTCGTGGCTTTTGGTGTGTCATATTCTTCTTCTCTTGGCTGCCTCTGAGTTCTGTTCCCTGGTCTGTGTGACAAGTTGATACACATCTCACATTTGTTTTGTCAGGTGTTTTGGTTGGAGTCGACATCACCAGTTGTAACTTAACCCAGAAAAACCCATAAGTATTGTAGCCTTTATTCTGCTGCTCAAAAAAAAAAAGTGTTTTACACCCAGCTTTTCGTCTTAAAGCAGTTTAAAGGCATCTGTGAGAAAACAGGCTTCTCTAGCCTGTGGGAGTCCTAAGGTGTTATACCTCAGGCCCTCAAGACCCCCTCCTTCCTGCCACTACCACTCTTTGTGGCCTGTTCTAAGCAGCAGGCACCACACCAAAATGGGGTTTTCCTCCTGCTGTTTCAGATTTCTTTACACTGACTTTGTAAACAAGCTCTGCCTGCAGCCGGTGAGAGGAAGGTGGCTCCTACCCCATATTTGAGTTTCTAATGATAGAACCTGAGAGATCCCAGTGCCTCCCGCTTTATTTTCCTTTTTCTCTTATGGGGTAGTAAGGAGAGAAGATTGCTGTGACTTTATCAAGCCTTACAGAACCAGCGTGTAGCTGAGAAACGGCTCAGAATTTCCTGTGTTTCTTAGCACTGTGCTGCCAGAAGCACTTAATTACACTCTGTTCTTTCCATATCTCTGTTTGCAAAAGCTTTGGCAGCATATGTAGTTTATCCACAGTGTTTTAAATAGATTGAGAGTACCTTGGAGTTAGCTTTAAAGGACTGTACAATATCCATGCCTCCTAAGTTGAAGGAATTTGTTAAAGACAACTCATAAGGGAACTCCTCCATATTTCTTGGGACAGTGAGGGGGACTGGGTAGCCCTGGGAGGAGGGAATATGGGGACTTGGCTAGATAGGACAGAATTTGGTCAGGCAGACTCTGGCCTGACTGAGCTCTTTAAAAAAAGGGATAATTTTGTTGGCTGGGCCTGGTGGCTCAGGCCTGTAATCCTAGCACTTTTGGTGGCTGAGACAGGAGGATTGTTTGGGGTTAGGCGTGAGAGACCCCGTCTCTACAAAAAATAGAAAAATTAGCCAGATGTGGTGGCTTGAGCCTGTGGTCTTAGCTACTCAGGAGGCTGAGGCAGGAGGATCACTTGAGCCCAGGAGTTGGAGGTTGCAGTGAGCTATGATGACTACCATTGCACTCTAGCCTGGTTGAGAGAGTGAGACCCTGTCTAACAAAAAAAGGGGATAACTTTCAGATTATAAAACATGTTCATTAAGGATAAAATTAAATTATCCTCCGACCACCCATAATCTACTACCAAGAGAAGAGTACTTTTTCTTCTTTTTTCTCTTTTTTTAGAAATAGGGTTTTGTTCTGTTGCCCAGGCTAGAATGTAGTGGTGTGATCTTAGCTTACTGCAGCCTCGAATGCCTGGACTCAAGTGGTCCTCCTACCTCAGCCTCCAGAGTAAGTAGCAAGACCACAAGTGGGTGCCACCATGCCTGGCTAATTTTTTTAAAAGAAGAGTATTTTTAATAGTTGGATAGTGTCTTCATTATTCTTTTGTAGAATTGGCTTATTATACTTTGCTTATAACTTCATATCCTGCTTTTTAAACTTAGTATATCATGGACTTTTCCCCATTTCTTGAAATGTTCTTCAAAAGCAACATTTTTTTAGTGTTTTTTTAATTAAAAGGTAATAACAACATGGACTTTATAGACAATTTGAAAAATGTAGAAAAATAGAATAAAGACAATTAGAATTGCTCATGATTTTACCTCCCAGAGAACTGTGGTTACCATTTGGGTAAAATACCTTCCAGTATTTTTTTGTGTGTACATATCTACCTTTTTTTTTTTTTAGATAGAGAAAGTGTTTCCCTATGTCTATTGTGGTGCAATCATAGCTCCTTGCTGCCTCGAAGTTCATCCAGGGTTCAGGCAATCCTCCTACCTCTGTCTCCTGAGTATCTAAGTTTACAGGCAGTATCATCATGCCCAGCTAATTCTTACATTTTTTGTAGAGACAGGGTCTTGCTATGTTGCCCAGGCTGGTCTCAAACTCCTGGTCTCAAATGATCCTCCTGCCTCAGCCTCCAAAAGTGCTGGGATTACAGGCACTTTTTTTTTTTTTTTTTTTGCGACAGAGTCTCGCTTTGTTGCCCAGGCTAGAGTGAGTGCCTAGCTCACAGCAACCTCAAACTCCTGGGCTCAAGCAATCCTATTGCCTCAGCCTCCCGAGTAGCTGGGACTACAGGGTTAAGGTGAGCCACCATGCCTCACCCCATATAAGTATCCTTGAGATACACCTTGTGGTTTATATTGATTTTCATTTTCTGTGGTTTTTTTGTTTTTGTTTTGTTTTATTTTGGGACAGGGTCTTGCTCTGTTGCCTGTGCTAGAGTGCAGTGGCATCATCATAGTTCACTGCAACCTCAAACTGTGGGGGTTAAGTACTCACCTGCCTCAGCCTCCCGAGTAGCTGGGACTACAGGCATATACCACCATACCTGGCTAATGATTTTTAAAATTTAATATATAATCTCTTTTATCAAATATCCTTAGAAAACCTGGTTTGGGGATGCATGTGGCATGGTGGTTCAGATCACAGGCCCCTATACCAGACTGGGTTTGATTTCCAGCTTTACCATTGATTAGCTATTGACCTTGGGGAGTTAATTAACTGTTGCCTCAGTTTTCTCATTTTTAAAATTGGAATATTGATAGTACCTATCTGGAAAGATGTTGTAAGGAATAAATGAACCAAGACATATATAATGCTTCTTTCTGCCTGGAATATATAGTAAGTGCTGTATAATATTATTGTTATAAATAATCCTGTTGTGGAGATCTTTGTATAATATATAACTCATTTTTAGAGTTTCTGCATATTTCCTTAGGATAGAATTATACAAGGGAAATCCCTGTGTCTAAGGAAATAAACTGTTTCAAGATTCTGCATATGTTAGTCACTTTCTAGAAAGTTTTGTGAGTTTGTGCTCCTATCTGAGCATCTGAGATTCCCTGGGCATTGGTCTGTGATGGATTTACAATGAATTAAAAAAAAAACCAAGTTAAAGGGCACTATTGTATATATAATTTTTGAGATACAGAAGATTTTTATTTTGATTTTTGTTAAATATTTTTTTCCTTTATGATATTTCCCATATTTTTTGTGCATAAGGAGCCCCTCCCCATACCAGGAACTGATCTTTTGATTGGAGGAGAGGCCTCTCCTTATAGAAATGCAAAGTTGTGGTATCTCCTGGCTACTTTCACTCAACATGTACTTTTACCCAGATTCCTCAGGATCTGAATTCCTGAAGCCCAGGCTTTTCCAGAATCCAGATCTGAGGGCAGGAACTTGTCAGAGATAGGGGCAAGTGATAAAACCATGTTCCAGTCTAACTGACTAGGCTTCAGGGTCAACTTACTTCCTTTCTTGGAACCTAAGTTCTAGAATCAGGCTTTCAACAGCTGGGATATGCTAAGAGGGAGTCTCCTTGAGCAGGGGTGGCAGTGGGTGCAGCCTGGTTTCAAGAGATATAAATTGGAAGAGACCAATTAGGTCATAGGTAGGGAAAATAAAAACAAAGGTCTGTACTAATCCAGAATGAGGCTTTGGTAGGATAGGAGGAATTTAGTCTTGAAATTGAGACATGAGAAGGGTCCATGTTATTGGTTTGGAGACTGCGTAAAGAAATTAAAGCTGTGCCAGGCTAGGCAAAGTTCCATCCTAGAATGGAGGGCCCAGGAAATCTCCATATAACCAACACTGGGTAGAGGCTGCTAGCTGGTGACCCATAGATTTATTTGGCCTATATAGTGTTCTAAATAATTTCAAATTAGTTGCCAACATTTGAAAATCAGGACCTGTCCTTTCACTTGAAGAAGTAAAAGTTCTGGCAACCTTGTACCCAAATTCTTGTCTGATAAAATGAGTTGGATTTAAGTAGTGGTTGCTCTCTTTAAATGGAGTATATACTCCCCAGTCCACTACAATTCCCCACTTCCTCTTTTTACCCAGGCTTTCTTGCCTTTGCTCATTCATATTACTTTCTTGGCCACTGGAGGCATTTTGTGTTTCAGATCCTGGCTTTCTGGCTGCACCACACCTCATTCCCAGGTTGCACTGGCAAGGAGGTCTAGACAGCTTTTCTGGGATTTCAGGCTGTCTTAGCTACTCATTAATTCCTAGAGCAGTGGTTTTCAAGGTGACATTTGGCAATGTCTGGAGACATTTTTGGTTGCCACAACTGTGAGGGGGTACTGCTGGCCTCTATTGGGTAGAGGCCAGGGCTGCTGTTGAACACGATACCATGCACAGGACAGCCCTGTACAATAATCTGGCCCAAAATGTCAATGCTGCCAAGGTTGACAAACTCTGTCCTAAAGATACATTCTGTT